TGGTATGTATAATTAATTATCTACATGTTATAGATAAGCCTGGTATGTATAATTAATTATCTACATCTTATAGATCAGCCTGGTATGTATAATTAATTATCTTATAGATCAGCCTGGTATTTGCTTGCTGGATGCCCGACCACGTGGAGCCAAACTCCGGAGCTCAGGTCCTCATGATCCTGCGCTGCCTCCGGCCGATCCGCATCTTCATCCTCGTGCCGCACATGCGCGACGTTGTCTACGTGCTCTGCCGCGGATGCAAGGAGATGCTGCTGGTGCGATATACTCGTCGTCATTGTCACGGCAACGCTGTCTGTTGTCGTCATGGTGATGCACGCTTGTCATCACGGCAATGCTGTCTCGTTGTCATGGCAATGTTGTCTCGCGTCATCACTGCAATTTCTTTCGACCTCAGACCGTTTACCGCAGATCCTTTTAATAACTGCTGATGATTATGGATTTAACCACTTAGGACAATAATGTACACGACAGATTATGTTTGTTAACCTCGCTGGTCAGCCATTTATTCCAAGAGGCTCCCACAATGCAACTGTTTGAACATAACAATTAGAGCAATCATTGTGTGATAGCAGAATACTACAACCCTTTTTACCTAGAGTTCTAACACAGAGACCTTCTAAAACGAAGACTTTTTACTTTAGACCTTTTTTTACCTAACTTTTCTAACACACACACCTTCTAAAATTAAGATTTTTAACTCGGTGGATTTCTAACACAGAGATCTTCTAAGACTAAGACTTTCTACCTTGTTGTCTGCTTGCAGGTATCGGTGCTTCTCATCGTGCTCATGTTTGTGTTTGCGAGCTACGGCGTGCAGCTGCTAGGACTGCAGCTAGCGCGGTGCAATGACGTCGACATCACGACAAAGGTACTCCTACCACCACCACCGCCTCCATTGCTGCCCTCACTGCCTCTGTTGCTGCCTTTACTGTTTGTTCTACTGCCACCCCATCCCCCTCTGCCTTACCATTACATCGTTCTTCACATTTTTACCCTGCCAAAGTCGCCTCGAATTAAAATTATTTTATAATCCTCTAGGTTTAGTAGTACGATTGCGTTGTCCCAAGATAGCTTTATAATCTCTGATGAATTTATTCTTTGATAATAAATAATTGATAATTACTTAATAACTATCAATCAATTCTTCAATATTAATAATAATTAGTACGTTAGAAACTAACAATTATTTCCTTAATTGTTGCTAATTAAATTTACTCTCGTGCTACAGGAGGAGTGTGTCGGTGTGTTCATGCGGACCGTCTCGGTAGCACAGTACATCAAGGTCCGTAGCAACGAGACGCAGCCGATGATGATGGTGCCACGCATCTGGTAAGCATCCTGCCTGTCATCGCCACGGTTACGGTCAGACGCGAGACGGTTACAAATTAGATGCGTCATCACCAGCTGAAATTCCAACTTTGATTTCAACTTTGATTCCAACTTTTGTTCTGATTTCGATATTTGCTTCGATTTCAACTGTGATTTGAGTGGATTCGGTCATGGTCATCATGTTTAGAAGCCTGACTGAACAGTGGAAGAACACTGTGACTCTCTTTGCCATGTGTGTAGCTGAGGCATGGACTGGCTACACTCCAACACACTCTAACTCACTACAACACACTCTAACTCACTACAACACACTCTAACTCACTACAACACACTCTAACTCACTACAACACACTCTAACTCACTACAGCACACTACAACACACTACAACAGACTACGCGTCACATTCGCAGACACCACTGCAATATACACTGCCAATACACTACAAACACTACGCGCTCACATTTGCAACTAAACTACAACCTGCGCTTGCCATTCAACACACTTCAACACAACTAACACTCATATTCCACACAACTACAACATACTGACAGACACTACGCCCTCAACATTTGCAACACCACTACAACACTACGCTCACATTTGAACACACTACAACACTACGCTCACATTTGAACACACTACAACACTACGCTCACATTTGAACACACTACAACACTACGCTCACATTCCAACACACTACAATACACTACACTCACATTCCAACACACTACAACACTACGCTCACATTCCAACACACTACAATACACTACACTCACATTCCAACACACTACAACACTACGCTCACATTCCAACACACTACAATACACTACACTCACATTCCAACACACTACAACACATTTCAACACACTACAACACACTCCAACTCACGTCGGTTTGTCGAGCTTCTCACTCAGATTATGACAGTTAGCTCTAAAAATAGCGATGAACGCTCGTGTGACTTACTTTGCCATGCAGGGCCAACCCGCGCAATTTCAACTTTGACACGCTCAGTCGGGCAGTGCTTGCTCTGTTTGAGGTACTCGCTATCGAGGGATGGCTAGATGTCAGAGACGTGGTCCTTGACCGCATGGGAGGAGTAAGTGTGTGCCTTCCCTTTTCCCTGTAGCTCCTGCCTCCTTCCTCCCGGTAGCTCTCTCTTTCTTCCCGGTAGCTCCCCTCTCCTTTGCACTGAGCTCCCTTCTCCCTCCTCCCGGTAGCTTCCTCCTCCTCCCTCTCGGTAGCTCCCTCTTCCTTCCTCCCGGTAGCTCCCTCCTCCCTCCTCCCTGTAGCTCCCTCCTCTTTTCTCCTGGTAGCTCCCTCCTCCTTCCTCCCGGTAGCCCCCTCCTCCTTCCTCTCGGTAGCTCCCTCCTCCTTCCTCCCGGTAGCTCCCTCCTCCCTCCTCCCTGTAGCTCCCTCCCTTCCTCCTCCCTGTAGCTCCCTCCACCTCCCTCCCTGTAGCTCCCTCCACCTCCCTCCCTCCCTGTAGCTCCCTCCACCTCCCTCCCCGTACAGGAGGAAGGACCTGTCAAGAAGGGACGTGTTTAGCATGTTGTTCGAGTGGCCGCTGTCCTCTATAACACGGATACATGTGATGGACATTTCCATGCGTTGCCGTTATATGCAGTTGTGGCCGTTATGTGTGACTTTAACACAGTGATGTACCCATGTGGTGTGAAGTGATACTGGACGTGGATGGAGCTAAATGTGTCCATGATTGTCTCACTGAGTGATTAACGCACCATGTATAAACAAGCGAGCATCAATACGGTGTCGTGTGTCTTCAATATGTTACACATTGTTATCGTTACACGTTATTATACGTTATTAATTCACCATGTATATATATAAATATATGTGTGTGTATAGCATCCTCTCCCGTGTCTTTACTGTAAACCGTGACATGAACACTGTTTGTGTTTTGGACCTATGGACAAACAAATAACCCTTTCCCCGGGAAGAACTTATTATTTTCAGTTTCACATTGGCGCACAGATGAGAAGATGGAAATATTGGATGACGCACACGATGCACAAGTTTCTGGTTTTGCCTTTCCTTTATACGTGATGGTGGCGTCAGGGGCATAGTTGCATTTATATTAAGAGTACATGATAGAGATGATCTCTGTTCTGGTACTCTTGGTTTATATCAATGTACAGACTTGAACAGATGTCTGAGGCAATTAACACATCTCTGATAAGGTTCTTATCTATAACAAAACACAATCCTATTGAAATTCTATTGGATGATCGAATGCGAAAGGTTCTATTTGACGAGTTCTGATGTTATTATTGAAATATCAGAACCGTTATTCCGAAATTATTTTTAAAAGCAACATTATTCCTGTAACTCCGTGCATTTCTGTATACGCACGCACACAGCTATGCCCCTGTTCGTGCCCAGTAGCTGTTAGTAGGTACCGCTAGCGGTTAGGGATTTGCAGCAGCAGCAGCGAGGGAGAGATAGAAGTGATGACTTCATCATCGCCGGCGCTAACGATCGTTCCGTGTTGTTTCACGACGCGCACGCAGGGCCAACCCTTACAATTTCAACTTTGATAATCTTGGCATGGCGATGCTCACACTGTTTGAAATGCTCACCCTCGAGGGCTGGACTGAGGTCAAGGACGCCACGATGGCCAGAGGAAGCGTAAGTTGCCGCCGCAATGGCTAACCCCTGCGTGCGGTTACAGTTGGACAGATAGCGTCATTGTATTTTCGTGTGATCATGCTTGGCACGTGGACTGGGCGTCAAGCTCTCTTAGTCTTGTCATATTCTTACCCAGAAGTTTGTTTTTAAATGGAAATTCTCTATGTGATCTGCGTCTGTTAATGCAAATTTTTAAAGAAAGCTATATCTATTCTTATTTTTAGTATCATGGAATAATTAAATTACCTAATTTCGTGATTAGTAATTAATGGTTATCATTTTAATGGGTCACACACCCTGCTATAGTTAGCATGCATAACAAAGTAATGTAAAACACAATTGTGGAGGCTTTTGTTAATTAAAATTTTGTTTTTCAAAGTTTTTATAAAGGTTTTTCAAACTTGCTTCGAATTCCTACGTTTTCCTGTTGTGTCAATCTTATTATACCAAGGAGATGCTTGACGCCCTGTTTTCCCCATCAAAGTGCAGTTTCATCGATTGGTTTTCCATCGGTGGTGACTATTTACTGCGATGCAATGGCAGTGGCAGTAATCTAGTTAGGTCATAGCTCTGATCTGCATTATAAGCACATATAACAAATAAGTTACACATAACAAACAAGTGAACACTACTAGGAGGAAAGCTGCACCGTTGTGAGCACCTCATTGTCGTTGCCGGGGTTCGCGACCTCGTCATGATGAGATGCCCCCCTCCCAGAATTTTAATCACTCCCACCCCCACCACACAGATCTGAATTGCCCCCTCACCCAATCCTTCACGCACTACTCCGACCTCAATCAACATACACAACACATAGGTCTATCTGCGGACCCGCACTGGCCGCACTACATAGACAAGACAGTCTGGTAGTATGCCACGATTGAGAGATTTGTTTGTAAAGCTTGTAATGATCAAGAGAAATGCTCTGGATGTAAATACAAGCTCGATACAACAAATTCTTCTGATGGGTACAAGAAGGCTGAGATGAGCATGCCCCCATATGATAAAGCATCTTACGAGACCAGTACATGGACCCTACGAGCGATATTTCATTGTGAGCTGATGGACTTACAATACCCAAGTAAACACACTTGAGCGAGCGGCCTCATCTCTGCGTGAGCTCACACCTTGTTCGTGTGAATCTTTGGTTCCCTCAGTTAACCGTGCTCGCGAACATGATTGTGCCCGTGTCGGTGTGTTGCCTCAAGTTGGCATACGATGTGTGTGTACCCGTATGTCAGGGTTAGCTGTGTCAAAGGTGTGCTGGTGTCAAGGTGTGCTGGTCATCCCATTGTGCTGGTCCATCGTGTGCGGAGTGTGCTCCTGGCATTGTGCCTCGCGTGTGGTCTTAAAGTGCCGTTTTATGTGCTTTCACAGGGCTGAAGGAAAGAGTTGCGGAGAGTGCTGTTCAATGCTTGCGCCACGTAGTGCGAACCGCCCCCACCAGTCACCGCGCTCTGAAAGCAGCACCCCACTCTTCGTTCGACATAAGATCGATCTTCAAGCAATTTCCCTGTTTCTGTTTCTCTTAACTGTGGCGCCACCTGGATAAAGGGCTACACCAGCCACTGCAGAAATGGTATAATCGTCAATGGCTTGGAAAATTGGATCTAACACATACTGAAAAGTGCACACCAGAGACTTGTGGAAGGAAGGTAGTGCTGGGTGACCTAAAAATCCTCTTCGACCAATTGTCGATCCCCAATTCTCTAAAAGGCGTCTGCTGTGACCATCAAGAGACGTTATATAACATCAATCAGCGCACTCCGGTTTGGTGCTAGCCAGCTGTTACACGATTTTAACCGCCACATCTTTGAACAAGACCCCGAGTGAATCGCTTGGGGGCATTAAGCAGGACCCAAAGCTGGTCGGACAAAGGTACATACTGAGATGCTGCGGAGCGTTGTGTTTCCAGTATAACAACTGTAGACCCTTACAAAATATTAAGCACATAGGTAAACTAGATCCCCGGTCGTGATCCACACTGTCACGCATATTCAGTGCTCTTGTAGGACACACGCACAAATGTAAAGAGTCATAGTGAGCACCTGCGACCACGAATTTACATTGGCAAACTAAACAGCCGCCTAAATCAGTGGAATATTGGGCAACAGCCAAACTTAAAAGAAAGCTCGCAACAGGCTTGCTGAAGCCATGTTGCCAAGAACAAATGTGAGTTAATCTAGGAATGGTCAATGATGAAGAAGACGGTTGGATAATGAATCAATGATGGAAGCTACCTTGAGGTTATCTGAAGATCTCACATATCTATTTGAGCAATTAAAAATCTGTTCGGCTGTTCGTAGTTATTTCTGTTTATTTGTTGCCAAATCGTCCGGCTTAACAATGCGTTTCCC